AAAGCTTTAAACGGTTATGAGTTAAATTTGTACCAAAACCTATTATTTATGTTTAAATATCAAAACGACATGCTTAAATGCTAAATTCTTTAACAATCATTTTTCAATTATTTCTCATAAATACTTAACAAGGTGCTCTATTCACAGTTTTAACTTACCTAAACCAACATTAAAAAAAACAGATTACTCAATTTCATATAGAGGACCTCGTCGATGGAACAAAATTCTTGACGACAAAACGAAAAGTATAACCTTAATACAATCTTTTAAAAATGTAGTTAAACAGAATTTGCTCGACTTAACAGATACAAACATACTTTTATATTATTAGTTTTAAAATTTAATTTTTTTTTACGTTACTTATTTGTTTTTCTTGCTGCTTTTTTTTTTTTTTTTTTTTTTTGGCTTTTTACTTTACTTTTGAAGTATTTTTATCTTATTACAATAAAGTTTATATTATTTGCTTTATATAATGAGTATTTGTATATAATGAGATAATGACACAAAAAAAATGTAAATAATTATTATATATATTTTATTTCTATATTTTACTTTAGAAGTCTTATTATAGTATAGCTATTTTTGCTATATAAAATGATTATTTATTTTTTTGTTGAAAAAACTTGTAAAGCTAATTTTTTAAATTTCTTTACTTTATTTAATTTAGCAAATTTTATTTTATTATTGTTATTTTAACTTGCTTTATATAGTGAATATAAATTATTATATCTTATATATTATGGATACTTTGTAAAAAAATATATCATGCAAATTGTATGGGCTTGACGACAAGACTTACGTCTTCTACTTGCTCCTGTCATTCTTTATATTTTGATTTATTTTATTAAACTTGGAAACGAAAACATTGTAAAATGCTTATATATGACGAAATAAATAAATGAATTTAAAAAAAAAAAAAGTTTTGTGTATTTAATGGAATACTTAATTTAATTTTATCTTTTGAACTAGGCAGACACAGCTTGTTTTAATGAAAATGATGACTTCTTCCCATGATAACATACTGACAAGTTTAGTGTGTTGCAATATTGACGAGTTGAAAAAAACCTTTTTTTTTATACGAAAAACTTATTTTTAAGTAAAGTAAAAAGAAAGCGATGCTCCAAAAGTTTTTTTTTGGTCCAAAAAATACATAAAACGCAATATCTCTTATGCGTATGCACGAAACTTTACAATGCTGCTGTATAGCATGAAATGGTAAATTAGAATGGTTCCAAGTAATTTCTGGCTTTTCTGAAGGAAGACTCTAAGGTTAAATGAAATTATCAAAATACTTTCGATCTTAACCAACTCCATCCTCCCCTATGCCATCATAGGAGCAGTTGCCTGTGATAGCATATTTGTATTTTTTTTAAAAATAGGAATAACTTATAAAAAAATAAATCGGATGAAAACTCCGAAGGTTATTATTGTTCTACATGTAACAAAGAATGTTACCTCAGAAACGTAAGATCCGTAAAATTGCCTTAGAAACGTAAGATCCGTGGTTCAAACCCCACCTCTGAACAAGTTTTGCGACATCGGTTGGGAAGAAGGCATGAACTTCCTATTAAATGCTCTTCCGCGGTGTTCTGTGATAAGACCGTAAGGACTTTTTGGGACACGTTAATCAACTTGAAAAATAAAAAAATAAAAAATAAAAAAATGTATCCATATTAAAACTTTTATTATTGGTCTTCAGAATACTGAATAACGAAGCTTCAAAGTTAAGTATGACATCATAGGTGCCTTTCCCCTAAATCCAATTATAATGTTTTTATTTTTTTGATTGATTACTTCGGATAAAAAGGCTTTCATAGTTAATACTTGCAACACATAACTGCTTTTTTATTTTAAAAGAATACTTTTCAAGTATATAAATCACTATACCCCAGCCTTTTTTATTTTCTCGTGGTTGGCTAATTAGTTTATAATTTGACAAATTGTAATTATATTTCAATTCCATCGTTAGCAGGAAAAAATCCCCCAGGAAATAATCCCCCGAGAAAAAATCCCCCAGGATAAAATCCCCTCGAAAAAAAACCCCCCGGAAAAAATCCCCCCGAAAAAAAATCCCCCCAGAAAATATCCCCCCAAAAAAAAAAATTTTTTACTTGTAAATTATAAATATGTAGTTATGTTTACTTCTTTATTTATTTCAAATACTTATATAAAATACTTCATTTTTCATCAAAATATCAGGTTATGCGCTATTCCTCGGTTGTCGGTAAAATACGAACTGCGAACCGGTAAAATGCGAACGTTTTTGCGAAAAAAAACAAGACCATTATTTTTATGATAAAAATAATAATAAAAAAAACTCTTCAATTCTTAATTATTTATTTTAAAGCTTTATTTAAAAAGAAATTTTTATTTTTTTAACTGTAAAACATGCGCGGAGTGTTGCTACATCTCATAACCTGACTTGCAACGGAGACTTTCTGATTCTTGCCGAGTCTCTGACAGAGGTATGACGTCAAACGTGTAATTTACAATATCTAAAAGTTCTTTAAAATTCTCAAAATTTTGATGCATGTTTCTTACGTTCAAGTGTAATATATAAAAAGAGTTTATATCTTTTTTTAATTTTAAACTCATAGGGATAGAAATATGGTGTTTTTATTAAACTCATTTGAGTTCCTTAAAAAATATTTAAGTTCTCTTCAGAAGGGTTATTAAAAAGATTGTCCTCACAAGGATCAGAATTTCAATTTTCAAAATCCACTTTCTCAAAAACATTAATCGTCATTTTTGATCAATAAAAGAATATTCTTATAAATGAAAATATGTCATTTTTAGTTATAATGTAATTTTTTGCAGAGATCATTTTAAATTGATTTCGCTCAATAGACAAGTTAAGGCCGTTTTCCACAAAACGAAAAATTCGCGCGAAGCGAATTTTTTCGCTATGACGAAACGCTGTTTTGATTTCCACTTACTTTCTTTCGCGCTACTTTTTTTTCGTTGTCAACAATAAAAATGGCAGCAATAAGTTTACGCTGTATGTTTAACTAAAGGCAGTTAATATTTTTTTAGCATACTTTCTACTTTAAAGCATGTGAAAATTTCTTTCCGTGCATTAATATTAACATTTCTACCTTTATATGTAAGATGTGATATTATTTTTTAATATAATCATTCAATATAAGGTTTTTTTTACAAGAAAGTATAAGAAAATAAATGCTAAACTCTGATATGAACATTTCTATTCAAAACTGTTGCTGCAAGAACGAACAGCAGGTTTAACTCTATGTAGAATTTTTCACAAAAAGGTTTATCTTCGTGTGAAAGTTACACTTCTTCGTTACGAAAGTTACACTTCTTATGAAGTGTAACTTTCGTAATTAACAGTGTAAAAATTTATATTTGTAAATTCTCGATTTAGTTTATATATAAGTCTGGTCATTTTTTATGTAAGTCTTGCCCCTTGTTTGATAAATTTACTCATGCTAGCCAATTTTCAGAGTAAGTTCATGTAAAATTAATAAGAACGCTACGTTAAGAATTTTATTTTTTGTTACTTTAAAAACAACATGTTTTCGCTTTTTTTTTAATGTCAACATCACGTGATATAATATTCAAAACTTTATTGGTTTTCGCTTATGGCGATTCGCAAAAAGTTGAAATGAATCCGACTTTTTTTCGCTAAAGCGATGTTTAATCTGCGCATGCTTAACGACAAAAAAATTCGTTTCGCGCGAATTTTTCGTCTTGTGGAAAACGGCCTTCATTTCGATATTTTACGAATCGTCATAAAGCAAAAACCAATCAAGTTTTGAATATTATATCACGTGATGTCAACAGTAAAAAAAAAAGCGAAAACATGTTGTTTTTAAAGTAACAAAAAACAAAATTTTTAACCTAGCATTCTTATTAATTTTATATGAACTTACTCTGAAAATTGGCAATCGTGAGTAAATTTATCAAACAAGGAGCAAGACTTATATAAAAAAATGATCAGACTTATATATAAAACTAAATCGAGAATTTACAAATATAAATTTTCACACTGTCAATTACAAAAGTGACACTTCATAAGAATGTTTATCTTCAAGTGGCCACACGAATATAAAACTTTTTGTGAAAAACCCTACATAGAGTTAAACCTGCTGTTCGTTCTTGCAGTACCAGTTTTTTAATAGAAATACTGTTCATATCAGAGTTTAGCATTTATTTTCTTATACTTTCTTGTAAAAAAAAGCCTTATATTAAATGATTATATTACAAAATGATATTACATCTTATATATAAAGACAAATGTTAATTCTAATGCACGGAAAGAAATTTTCACAAGCTTCAAAGTAGAAAGTATGTTAAAAAAGTAATAACTGCTTTTAGTTAAACATACAGCGTAAACTTATTACTGCCATTTTTATTGTTGACAGCGAAAAAAATGTAGCGCGAAAGAAAGTAAGTTGAAATCAAAACAGCTTTTCGTCATAGCGAAAAAATTCGTTTCGCGCGAATATTTCGTCTTGTTGAAAACGGCCTTTAGAGCGCGATAAAACGCACTTTTTCGACTTAAGCATGTTTTTCTTCGACCTAAAACAGCAATTTTATATATTTCGAGTGCGTATAATAGCACTTCCGTTATAATATATATATATATATATATATATATATATATATATATATATATATATATATATATATATATATATATATATATATATATATATATATATATATATATATATATATATATATATATATATATATATATATATATAATATATCTTGATTTTCTTAAGAAATTTGTTCGCAAAAAAAATAGGAATTGATTGCACCCAACATCCCATTGTATATAAAAAAATTAATTGAAAGCATCAGTTTATTTATAAACTTTTAAAGGTTTTAAATCATTTTTAAGAAAAACAACTCGAAAATATCTACTTTAAAAAATCCAAACAAAAGATGCGCTTTAGCGTAAGGTAATAAAAGGTGTGCTTTTATTACTAACTACAATGATGATGTGGATAGAAGGTAGAGATAACTGCACTCAATAACGCTTACAATGATATTAGCATTAGCTATTATATTTACTAAATATTTCTATTATTGCACTGAGTTGAACCAGGATCAAAAATATTGTTAATCACAGTTGTATAGACAACCAGAGGTAAAAATTATTTGCTTTGCTTCAGTTTTTTGTTATTTTGGTACTTTGTTTAACTTGTGTTTTTTTAAAATGTCCGTAATTTTTCATGCGCGATGAAAGATGATCCCAACGTCCTCCATGTAATTGCATTTCATGCATTGGTCGTAGTCGATGTCCAGAATTAAATCCATTCAACATCGAATGAACAGGTATGTGAAGATCTCCAAACGTATCTCCGTCGTGATGATACCCACCTCCACCGTCTCTTTTTATATTCTTACTTTGAGTTTCGACATCTAAAGATCTGTTCTTTAAAATAAAACTAATTTAACATAAAACGCTATTTGTAAAAAATTATTCATTTATTATAAATAATATTTATAGTTACAAAATATTATACATTTTGGTGAGCTGTTTGCTACATACACTGTTGTTGTCAAAAGAAACCAAAAGCACATCGTAGTTGCCATAGTTACAGCTTAAGGAGTTTAAGGACTTAAAGTTAAAACTATCATCTAAAATATGAAGTATTGTTAGAACAAACGAATAAAAATTTTTTTCAAACTTAATTTAAAAAGTCAGCATAAAACTAAAAAACAAAGTTTGGGTATGATTATTAGTTTAATCAACCGTGTTGAAAATGCATTTAACACTAGCCCCGGTCAAAACAACTTTATATAATAAGAAAATATACGCTAAGATGGATAAATGCAGATAAAAACAATAATATAATAAATATATGAAACCTATACATTTTATTTGTATATTTAAATAAAATAGTAGAAATCGCTCATCAATTTTTTAAATTTACGATGTTTCGGCAAAAAGACACGACAGAAATGAAATTTAATAATCTTCAATTTGTCAGAAATTAAAATAGAAAAAATAATGAATGCCTTAGCTTTGTAAAGACATTTACGACTTAACATCATATTCCACATATGTGGAATTTTGTGGGATATGTTGGTACTACAGACAACTCTTATATGAATCGCTAACTTTAAAAAGGGGACATGTCCTGCAAAATTTCACATAAAATGTCCCCTTTTTCAATTCGGCGATTCATATGGTGTTTTTCTTTTCTTTTTTTTTTTTTATTTTCAATGGAGATTTTTGTTAGTACTTTATAAGTTCACTTAGTTTTATAGTTTTTCAAGAGTACGTTTTTTTTTGTCTGCATTTAGATATCAGTTCTGATTTTTCATTCAATAAACATTCTTATTTATTAAATAAAAAATATTTTTTAAAAGCTTATGGTTTGCATGTGTAATTATTTTAAATTTTAATTGTAGGCATAATATGCATTTTTTGAAAATATTACGCTAAATACAAAATGCGTTGTTTAAAATTTTGATATTTTTTAATTCAAATATGCATTTTGACAAATCTTTTAAACACATTTTTTAAAAGATTGCTTATGATTGACAAAAAGTTTTTTCCATTCGCCCTCAGTTAAGTCAATTGTTTATCAGGTGCAATCTAATAAGAAACTAAACATTTATATGGATTTCGCCTTTTTTTAAAAACCACCCATTGGACAATTGGTTTTTGTTAGCAATTGTAATTTTCTGTTATTTAGTCATTTAAAACTCTGTTTCTGTATAACAACGCATTAATGCGGCCTTTTATAATTCCTTTTAATAATATAAAACTTTAATAATTTGGTTACGGAAGTGTTTATCCACCACTTTTAAAAACATTTTCGCTATATGAAGGTTTAAACCAGTTTATGTTTCTAGATCTATTTTGCTTTTTAGAACTCTTTTTCCGCATTTTTACAATATTTTAAAATTTTAGTTGAAGAATTATTTTTAACTTAATCGTTATTATTAATGGTTAAGTTAAGAAATAGAAATTAAATTTATGTTCTAAAAATAGTTTTTTATAGAAATAATATGTATTATTATTAATATTAATTATATAAAAATAGATTTTTATAGATATTATATATATATGCTCAGAGCGGTAATAGTTATCAAAGATTTAAATCACATGGACAAGAAAATAATTTTTTGTTTGGTTTTATATTCTTGTCGATTTTTACAATATCATAATACAAAAGTTTAAAACAAAACAGTTAAAAGCAAAAAAGACTTTAAATGTTAGAAAGGTTTTAAAAGTTTTTTTTTTATATTGTACATACTCTATCCTTAAATATACGATCCGCTAACTCAACTTACCTACTGTCAATAGTACATGCGTCAGCATGACATACGCTGATTGGACGTTTAACGAATTGTTATAGCTCAAAGGCAATTACTGAAATTCTATGTGGGTTATAACTTTTAGCACCATTTTTTGAAATAACTTTACAAAATAAACCGCATTTTTTCTAGGAAAACACTAAATCCAATCCTTCAAAGTGCAATCTAAATTTTACTGACCGATGCAATCTCTAAAAGAAATATAATTGTACTTTAAAATAAAAGCAACTCTGAGATTTTTAATAATATTTTTATTTAATATTTATTATTAATCATGTTATTATTAATAATATTAATAACGGATGAGTGGAAACTCACCTTAAGGAATGAATTCCACGAAATTAAAGTTGGTATGAACTTTAATGGTGATATTTGTGATGAAAAGGTAAAGGCGTTTAAAGAAAAAATTAATAAAGTAGAAAGAAATAATAAATGTAAAAAATATGCTAGGGGAAATTTCATAAAATAACTCTGACCTCAAACTATAAAGCGTTGATATAGAAGATCGAGAAGTAATTTACAAATTGATAGTCTTATTAAAAGTGGCGACGAGATTGGGAAGTCACCAAAACTAAAGTAAAAAAATTGTTTGCTGAAAAGCTTGAAATTGATCGAGAAATAAAAATCGAACGTGCACATAGAGTTGGCATAGTTAATCCTGGTCTAGAGAGAACTGTTGTTTTAAAACTGCACGATTTTGAAGATAGAAAAAAAATAATGGAAAAAGTCTCCAAACTAAAAGGTACGAATATTTATATTAACGAAGATACTTGGGCCACTACTTTTTTCTCATTTATGTTAATGATCTGCACAATGCCTCAAATTTGAAGACAGTAATGTTTGCTGATGATACAAATCTTTTTCTATCCGGTAAAAATATCATTACACTATTTAATGAAATCAACATAGAAGTAATTAAAATTTCAAATTGGTTTAAGTCAAATAAACTATCAATTAACTCTATATCTGCAACAGATCCTCTATATCTGCAACAGAAGCATATAGCACGTTTAACAAACTTTAAAGATCGTTATACTCATGCCAGACCTCTTTTATTGGAAATGAATTTTCTTAATGTATACCAGCAAAATGTTTTTAATGTTCTTTTATTTATGTACAAATGTAAGATAAACCTAACTCCTATATACTATATGAGTTTGTACCTTTTAAAAAAGTGTGTGGTTCCTGAATATATATATTTTTATTTTGAAATATTTAGTTTTACATATTCTTTATGTTGTTAAACGTTATTTTATGTTTTGAAATATCTGGTTAAATTTAAATTTTATTTTTAAATGTCATTTATTGTAATTATTTAACTGGTTTTATTTTTACTATATTGTTAAACGGTTCTCAGTGAGAGGATCTTACGATCCTCTTTGAGTCTCCGTGTTCTGATATTTAATGTACAACGATATTTATACCATAGTATATTGTAATAAGAACAAAAAAAAAAAAAAAAAAAAAGATTTTAGTAAGAGGACGAGAATAATTCGCATAGAGCTATTCGCACATGCAAAATCTCATAGGCAAAATGGTTATTTTGCCAAAGTTATATATAATAAACTATTAGTGAATTCAAACAAGACAAATCGAGCGGGAGTGAAAATTTGCATATTTTTTAAAATAAATAAATAAATTATATTTTTATTAAAAATATTTTTTTTTACATTTTTGTCGTTGTTTGCAAAGATAAACAAACAAGCTTCTAAAAGAAGATCATAATGATCTTATCATCAGAACCAATTACAAATTTTTTTAAATCAATACATTAACAACATTAACAAAACTAAAAAATTACAATAAATCGTGATATAAATTGGAAATATAGATCAAACCAATAATGTTATATATAATAAAAAGTCTCATCATATCATCAGATCTTATAAAAACGTAAATAAATACATATATATACAAAGTAAATACAGTAATACATCTCTTTTTAATAGGCAAGAGAAAATACAACAGTCTTACAATTAAAAAGACAAATACGTGATTGTTATAAAAAGTATTTAATTATATCATCAATAGATAAAATAAAATTTTTAAGTTTACTATTAAAGATCGGAAATGTATTGGCAGACCTAGGATTCGCTCAGAAAATTCTGAGCGGCGCTCAATTTGTCGTTCAGTTGCTTTTTATGAACGGACGCTCGCAAATCTGCTCATAAAATTTCTTGAGCGGGCGCTCCGCTCATTCGCTCACAAATCCGCTCATAAAAAAGTTTCAATAACTTTCCCAATATTTATTTATTGGCAGCCCGTTCACATCGTTTTAATTGTCAGTTGGTCACATAGTAGGAAGGAGTAACACGAATACACGACAAAAGTAGGATATAATACAATAGTTGGAAAGAGTAACACGAATACACGACAGTTGTAAGATGAAGTAACACAAATACATGTTATACAATTATTAATTAAATAATAACTAATATGTCAAATGGAATATTGTGAGCTAAATTACATTGGTCAAAAGCTTTGACAAATGTAATTTTACCGCTTTTTCACGGTCGATGGAGTCTCATTCCAATCTTTGAAAATATTGTTGTTGATTTTGTATAAAGTCAACTTCTCAAAGGTGCTATCAGTCATTGATCCCCGTTTGGCAGTGAAGATGAGTCCTCCAAAACTAAATGTTTGCTCGCAAGCTGCAGACGAGGGCAACGCAGTATTGTACTGCCTAAAAAATTTTAAAACATTTAAGTCTTAATCAGTTCTTTTTGTGATTTATAGTGGATTTAAAAATGATTAAAATATACCTGAAAATCGATTTAATTGTCGGATATCTGTCTAGCTGAGATCGATCACCTTGCTCCTCATTGAAGTAACGATCCACCTCGTCAAGATCACTCGAGCTGCGTTTTTTGTAGGCATCCAAGAATCGCAGTCGCTGCTTTGTAACACGATTTTCATCCGCGGTCGATCCGCTAAAGGTAGAACTGTCGGACCTTTATAGAAGATCAATACAAAGGTTTTAAATACTACGTTTTAATTTTTGAAAGAGCAGGATTCGATATTATAGGCTATTGAGAGAAATGGGCTACAATAATTTTAATTGCAGAGAGCTCCCAGCTCGGAGAGTTTTCTTTCTAGCAGTGACTTCACGTTTCAGAAGGCGGATGTCCAAATAACGCTCTTGTTCAGATACCCAAAGAAGTTTGAATTGAGGATCAGAGAGTGCAGCAAAGCGAAGTCTTGAGTCATGGAACATGTCGCCAAATCTCTTTTGCAAACCCCACAGCACTGCTTTAATGAGGCTTTTGCAATGGACGATGGCATCTTTTCCATTCCCGATAACTCTTCTTTTAACAGCTGGATAGAAGGCAGCAGACATCCAATTAAGACGTTTGATTCATTTTG